GGTGGGGTCGGGAAGCAGCCCTTCCCCCATGCCATGACCAGCACTCCCTGCTGCAGCCATTTGCAGCCCACGTGGGGCTGTCCAGAGCAGGCACAAGCAGTCCCACGCAGGCTCTGAGTGGCTGCAGCGTGGGGCACCGGCCACGAGGTGGGTGAGGGGCAACTTCCACCCCCGCCCCGTGCTCAGCTTTTCCCCAGGCCACTTTTCCCTGGGCTCCTTCCCTGCCCTTCCCCCCTCTTCCCCCTTACCTGAGTTGGTGGGTCAGCCATGTGGCCCCATGCTGGGGGGTGGAGCCAGGTGGTCCCTACTGTTGTGGGAGCCCACCAGGCTTCCCCTGGGTCCTACTGCCCTTGGTTCCTGTCATTTTTGACAGGAACAAAGGGCAGATGAATATTAATTTTCTACATTTTTTAGGGGCCCCGCAGGCTGGGTAGGATGGCCTCACGGGTTGGATTCAGCTCACAGGCCATATTTTGCCCACCCACCCCTGGTTTAAAGCCATCTGGAGTCCCCCAGGGCTCGCTCCTCAGGCCCGCACTGTTCAACATCTTCATGATGGCCTCACGGGTTGGATTCAGCTCACAGGCCATATTTTGCCCACCCACCCCTGGTTTAAAGCCATCTGGAGTCCCCCAGGGCTCGCTCCTCAGGCCCGCACTGTTCAACATCTTCATCAACGACTTGGATGAGGCGGTGAAAAGCACCCTGTTCAAATTCACAGATGACACTAAGTTGTGGGGGGAAGCGGGCACGCTAGAAGGGAGGAATAGGCTGCAATCGGACCTGGACAGGTTACAGGGGTGGGCGGATGAGAACAGGATGGGGTTCAACACTGACAAGTGCAAGGTGCTGCACCTGGGGGGAAGAACCAGCAGCAGACCTACAGGCTGGGGAGCTCCCTTCTTGTCAGTACGGAGGCAGAAAAGGATCTTGGAGTCATTATTGATGCCAAAATGAACATGGGCCGACAGTGTGGGGATGCGGTCAGGAAGGCCAACCACACCTTGTCATCCATCTACAGATGCATCTCGAGCAAGTCCAAGGAGGTGATCCTCCCCCTCTATGCGGCACTGGTCAGGCTGCAGTTGGAGTACTGCGTCCAGTTGTGGGTGCCACACTTCAGGAGGGATGTGGACAGCATTGAGAGGGTCCAGAGGAGGCCCACCCTCATGATCAGGGGGCAGCAGGGCAGGCCCTACGAGGAGAGGCTACAGGACCTGAACCTGTTCAGCCTCCACAAGAGAAGGCTGAGGGGTGACCTACTGGCCATTTACAAACTAGTCAGAGGGGACCAGCAGGCATTGGGGGAGTCCCTGTTCCCCCGAGCACTACCAGGAGTGACAAGAAATAACGGTCACAAGCTGGCAGAGGGTAGATTCAGGCTAGACATCAGGAGGCGCTACTTCACTGTCAGGGTGGCTAGGATCTGGAACCAACTTCCAAGAGAAGTGGTGCTGGCTTCTACCCTGGGGGTCTTTAAGAGGAGGCTGGATGAACAACTTGCCAGGGTCGTTTGACCCCAATACTCTTTCCTGCCCATGGAGGGGGTCGGACTTGATGATCTGCTCAGGTCCCTTCCGACCCGACCAACTATGAAACTATGAGTAGGTGGGAGGATCTATGCCCCTTCCCTGTCTCTTGGAGCCTCCCTCTAGCATACAAGCCTTCTGGCCTCAACAGCACATCTGCTGTCTCCTGAGTGCTCTTCTAAACTGTAGGTGCTGGAGCTAACTTGTTTTCTGGGAGAAACAAGCTTTCCTCTCGCTTCATACCCACACTACAGCAAACCTCGTGGGCAAACAGAGGTGGGTGGGGGAAAAAGAAAAGAGCTACAATGCAGCAACAGGTCTGATTCTCATGGGTATTGCATTCATCCTCTTCATTAAAGTTCACTTTATTTAGTTTGCTTCCTTTGAACTTTTTCTCATTCAATTTGGTTAAATTTCATATTTCTGATACAAATCACAGGTAAACACCTTCCCTCATAGCATCACAAAGCTCCACCACAGACACTTATAGCCCAACACTTGACTGACCAACATTAAACTGGTTAACGAAAGACCTGTAGCAGATGGATGTGATCAGGCAGGGGTAGCAAATTGTTAAAGAGAAACTAGAAGCTTTACTAATATGCTAGGGGGTTAGCACTATATTAGTCAGTTTAAGATCAAAGAAAAACAGATATAAGTATTGGGATGTGCACTAATTTGCCATAGAGCATGTTGATACCTGTCTGTGCAGACACATTAGGGCTGCATGAAATTTCGCTGGCAGTTTCGTTTCAAGGCTGTTTCGACTCATTTCGAGCTCAAAATAGCAAAATCGAAATGAAACAGAGAGCTTTGAAACAGCTTTGAAATTTCATAGATTTCATAGACATTAGGGCTGGAAGGGACCTCGGAAGATCACTGAGTCCAGCCCCCTGCCCAAAGGGCAGGAAGTCAGCTGGGGTCATAGGATCCCAGCAAGATAAGCATCCAGTTTTGTCTTGAAGGTGTTCAATGAAGGCGCTTGAACCACCTCCGGTGGCAGGCTGTTCCAGACCTTGGGGGCTCGGACAGTAAAGAAATTCTTCCTTATGTCCAGCCTGAAGCGGTCTTGTAGTAGTTTATGACCATTCGACCTTGTCATCCCTTGGGGCGCTCTGGTGAACAAACGTTCCCCCAGATACTGGTGGTCACCCCGATAAACTTGTAGGTGGCCATCAGATCACCCCTGAGCCTGCGCTTTTCCAGGCTAAAGAGCCCCAGGGCTCTCAGCCTGTCTTCGTAGGGTCTGCTTCCCTACCTCTGATCATGCGCGTGGCTCTTCTCTGGACTCTCTCAAGCTTCTCCACATCCTTTTTGAATTGTGGAGCCCAAAACTGGA